CGAGAATTGGCCAGCTAGGGCGTGCCCTGATTGTATAATAGTTATGGGCGGTTAGGAGAAAGGCTGCAGGACTGACAGGGATTAGATGGGAGGTCAAAGTCCTTCGTGTGTTTTCTACTTCACTTTTTCTTCTACAATGCTCTCTACGCTTCCTAAAGGCACTTCAACCAATGCACGTTGTACGTCGGGGCGCTCGCAAAGGAAACGGGTCGTATTTTGCGGTGGAGGAAGGGGAGAGAGCATTGTAGAAGAAAAAGTGAAGTAGAAAACACACGAAGAACTTTGACCTCCCATCCAATCCCTGTCAGTCCTCCCGCCTTTCTCCCAACCGCCCGCAACTATTATACAATCAGGGCACGTCCTACGCTGCCGATTCTCGGCGAATGGGTCGTATTAGGTTGCTGGAGGGGAAAAAGAGGTCGTATTTGCCCTTTGGAAAAATGCTGTCTGTTGTTGACTTTTCCTGGTTTTCCTGCTTCAGTGCTATATCCCCCTCTCCTGCCCGACGGCATTTTTTTAAGGATAGGAAAAGTGGAGAAAGAAAACTGCGTAAAATTGGGATACGAAGTGAGGAAAACTCTGCAATATGGAAAGATCGAGGAGGGATCGGGAGAGGGGGGGGGGGCGTACTAGAGGAGGATCCCCAAGGGCAGGACGTGCCCTGACTGCAATAGCACCGAATCCCGTGAAATGACATGTAATTGAGGTGAGTCCTGAACTTAGGTTGATAAAAAGAAGTAAAGCACTATTTAAACATAGTATTGCTAGCAACTGCTAATAGAAGACCAGTCGTGACGGTTATGATGGCTGAGAATTCTGATCGGGCGGCTCGACACCAACTTTAGGAATAAGTTTCGACGTCATCCCTCCTTTCGCTAGTGACATGACCCAAGCGAGTTTTGCATTTCGTGCTCGTCGTCTGAAATGAAAAGAATTGGCTGGATAAAAGAAAAGGGCCTCACTGAAGAGTACGATCAATCTCAATCAGCTCTCATTTCAGAGACGGGGAGGGGCAGTTTTCTTTTTTGCTAGTTCCTTCTGCTAGTTTGACACTGTATACTCTTATGAAACAGCGAAATGATTCGAGCGAACCACCTTGATTACAAGAGGCTCCTGGTTTCCGCAAGGTGGCCCGTTCATGCTTCGCTCTCAACGATTTGGTACCCCTGTCTAGCCGAACTGTACCCCCCCCCCCCAGAATCTCTTACCTGTTCTTAATTCGATATGGCACGTCTCCTTTTTCGATGACATAATTCACCACATATCTCTTCTGAAAGAAATTCAATCTTTTGTACAAAAGTCGCGATATCAACGGAAGTGGAACAAACTCGGTTGTACTGTGATTGGCCCGGCGAGGGCTTCAATTATCTACGAGAGTCTTACAGGGAACAAAAATAGCGCAAGTTTCAGGTACTTCTGCTTTTTACGGGCTTGCGATACCATACGGTAAACTCTACATTACCGGGAGGGAGGGGATGTCGCATGCTTCATGTTGAACCGAGGCCTGTTCGCTCCATTGCGAGATGTTGCCTCAGAACAACTGTAATTATGTCCTTGTACAGCCCAAAACAAGATAACAGTTGCTTCAAATGCAATATCTCACAGAAACATATCCGGCGCCTGTTGAAATGGAGTACTTAGCCACGCCCTCCCCATTTTCGGGATATGGGCCGTAACTATCCAGGCAGACTCACCCTTCGTTGAGCGACTCGAATTGATGCCGGGACAGCTGGTATGATGCTTTGGAACACGTACTTCAGGATAAAAACCATATTCTATAAAAAGTGGGTTTCCGCAATAAATTGCATTAAATTCTAACGGTTCTCTTAGGCTACTCACCTGAAACACTTATGAGCGATGAGCGAAAGCGATTCTTCAGCATACGCAACGGAGAACATACATGAAGGAACATCTCGAGCACGACATCCGAAGTGACGGCGACTAAGAAATAAAGAATTAAGAAGTTAAGAGTCGGCTGCTCCATGGCCATAAATATTAGGTCATCCCATTCAAACGTGCCGCTGGTTTTTTTTGAATAAAATAAAGAGGAGAATAAATAGAAAAGTGATATTTTAGCTTTAGGATGAGTAAATCCCTCCTTCACCAATGACCCGCTCCCTTGGCCCTCGAGGTGGCTTTGGACTCTGATACCTTCGACTTGTTTCAATAAGTCGTGGCGTAAATTTAATTTGTGGCAAATGACCAAAGGACATTGTGGTAGCGTCTGACCGTGTCGCGAGCTAGTACTCTCCTACCTGAAATAGAAACAGTTGGTAATCGCATGGGGCGCGGGCGACCTGGTATTGACGGGCGGAGATGGGACGATTGAACTCAGCGCCTCAGTAATTGTTATGCTGTCCAGCGACTGATCTACAGTTACAGTTTTATCCAGGGTCTGCCACTCATTGACGAGGAACGGTGCGGCCTTCTCGCGTTTAGTTGTGTGGCAACAACCATTTGTCGATCTGAGCCGAGGAAAGGGCATATATGGGCACGACGCGTGACGATTTTTATTCCTGCCAGTATATCAGCCGCTCGAAAGCCACCGCGCTGATGTGGGAAGCCCTTTGTATTGATTGATCATCCACTTGCGCGCACGTAAACTCTTCGTGATAAACTCGGGCGGCTCTTCATCGTGCATCATAGCAACAGTTGACGATTGTGAGCTTTCGGCTTAGTAGCGTCCGTACGACACCCGATATTCATCTAAGGCCTTGAGGTGCGTTTTCACAGTGTCGCTTAGTGACAGCTCTCATGTCTGAGAACATGTACTGCGTAGAGGGTATTAGAAATCTGGTTACTTGCGTTTGTTGCTTCCTGATCAAGAAATTTATAGACCAGGGGTACGCCATTCGCGCACCCTCTTGACCATCCCAGTTCTATCCGTACAGAATCGGGGGCAGCAGTTGCGCAGCTGGGATGGTCAGTTCAACTCGGCAGGGGCAAAGCTCGACATAGGGTCCAGCGCTCTGTGATCTCAGATATTCATGTGGGTCTGACTTCCATCGCACCTTTTTTCTGTGCGGATGATTCATTATGGAGAGCCATCCACACAACAAATTTTTTCCTTTCTTCCCTTGTACGGTCCTGTGAAACCAGATCTTCCACCGTCTATTTCGAGAGACACCCTTACGCACAACTATGGTCCGGCGCAGGTCAAATTTGAGCGGCGCACTTTCCTCTTATGACGTCTGATTTGAAAAACCGGCGCCGATTTTCACCACTCGGGCTTCTTTTCAATTTCTCGAGAACTTCTTCTGGGGCTAGGTTCGCCAAATTTCACAGATACACAGCTTAAGGTACTAGCTTCCAAGATTGGCTGTAATAGCCGCTGCTTCTATCCCCTTTGCTTTCTTGCCATTCCTCTTATGTGATAGCGGCCCGTTTGAATGGGGATTGATCCCTCAATATATACGATTGAATGACGTCGCATTTAGTAGGGGGCCGTGTCATGAGCGCGGTGGTGGCTCGATTCCTACTGCTCTTGGCTACCAGTAGTGATCGGAGTTAGGGATCAGAAGTAACACGATCGGACCGTGATGGGACAATGCCGTGGGTAGGCTCATTCGCCCTGGTGACCCCCCCCCCCGACTCGCATTGCATACGAATCAGCTGTTAAGATACGAATGGAAACCCTTCGAAGAAGGATCAAGATAGGTACTCGATGTGATTGCCCACCACTGTCGAGCGTGGGGGCAGTGGTTGGAGAGCCGACATCATCAAGCAGAAACTCACTATAAAAGCGTTTTTCATCGCAGCGCTCGACTGAAAGTAAAGAATCGGTAGCCATATGCCGATGCCTGAAACGATCAGTTACTGGCTAGTCAATCGTTTAGCAATTGTTCAGCGCTTACCGGATGCCATCGCTGGTATCGGTCGTCGGTTGAGCCACAGTAGTCTTAGGGCGTCTATCCGAAGATCAATGACACCAATTATCAAAGCGAGTAGGGGAGCTAAGGGAACAACCCGGCAACACTTCATGCAAGCACAAAAATAAATGATTCCGGTGCTGATATCAATCGCATTGTTCTGAGTGTGCATGTCCCCGTTCGACTTCCATTTAGGGATCACAATCCCATAGTTTCTATCTGAAGGTGCGTATCACATGAGCTTTTGAGGGGACAAAACTTATAGATAAGTTAGTGTCTTGTTCATCCATTACGAATCTGATTGCCAACTAACCCTTGCCTGAGGAGGATTGAAAGGCTAGTGGCAAGAGATGTTTCTTCTTTGCCCCAACCTGTACATACGCATCTGGTTTTATCACTAAATATCTCAATTGGTGATCCTTAAAAATCGATGTGTGGATTACAAATCCAATATGTTGACTTTTGATCCTCGAAGCAGTTTCGTGCATGGCGCGCACCAGAAAGGAACTGGTTCGAAATCGATGCAAAAAGCCCCTGTTGAGATGCTGAACGTACCATAGTAGTTCCGAATAGAATAACTTTCTCGTTGAATTCTCCTTGGGAGAAATTATTAGCTGGCGGCTTGATCCATTCTCTGACCAGTACATTCGTCTCATCGCCCTCTTTTAGCACGTCTTCCATGGTTTGACGTCGCCCTTTATACCATTTTCTTAGCTTTACGGCGTGGACGACATACCTGCGTGGAATGAGGAATCAGCAACTTGAAGAGAAAGTGCTACGGGACAATGTCAGGGCACTGCAGTTCCTATCGATATAACCAACACTGTGCTCGAGGCACATTCCGTGACAGTCGGATGGGCGGAGACCGGTAACCAATAAGATTTCCTCAATGTAGCGTTTCTGTTTCTAAAAACGAGAGCCGCGCTCATGAGAAGAGTACAATAATTATGGTTTTTTTCCAGTTACTGCAGGTTTTGGAGGCACATTCCGTGATGGGTAAATGGGCGGAGCTTGAGGATCCAATCAAATCTTATCCACTTACGGTATAATAATATCTTTCGTGAACTTCGGCAATGGCTTAATGATCATGTGCGAAAGGAGCTGTAGAGCCAGCATTGACCCGCATGTGCCCGGCACACAAATATCCTTATACGTCGGGCCCAAGCCAAAGAGCCCATTCGTTTGGAAGCCCTTAACATTTCCGTCATGACTCTGTTACGAGAAATACGGGAAATAGGAAACATACGTTGTTCTCAGGTCGTATGAAGGCGACGTAGAAAAGCGATGTGTAGTTGTTAACGAGTTGCAAGGAGAACATCTTCACGACGAGCGAGTTGTGATACTCAGAGTTGGTACGGTGATTTTCTGAACATTTTTACATGACCGAGCTGCTTAACGATGCATTCATTTTGAAGACACATTCCTCAATGGGCGCGTGGGCGGAGCCTAGCAACCAATGTCCTTTTTGAGTAGCGTGCTCCTCTTTCCGGCACTACAGAACGAGGAATTCACCAATGAGGGAAGCACACCTGCTGTGGAAGCCCGCCCACTCATCTCTAAGCCTATCTGGGTATCATGGAGTGCTTCTTCAACACTTCCTTCTGAAAGCAAAAGGACTCAAAAGAGATTCCAAAAGATCCTAGATGGAGTAGGTTTTACTTTCGAAGCAACTTGGGCCTGGGGAGGGGAAGGGGTAAGGGGTGGGAACAATTTCACTTCCGCTACTTCTCGCTCTTGTGCTCATTGCTTGACAAGTGTTGATATAGTCGCTACTAACTCGGACTGAATCACTTCACGGCTTTATAAGATCTTTACTTGATGGCTCAAGACGCCGATGAGAAGTAGCGAAAGTACAAAATGCAAATGCCCCTTCCCCTTAGCAGATGCGCCCTACTTTCATAGTGAGAACTTTATCAAACGATTGAGGTTGAACTTACCCCATTGCGTCATAAGGCAAAGGTAAAACATTAAACTTCCTGGAATTTCGCAGGATCAGAATTAGCGTGAATATTTCAGTAAATGTCATTTTTCAGGTTAAAAATTGTCCACGAACAAACTTACAGGAGTATAATTGACGCAAAAAACTACGTAAGTTTCTCTATGCTCTATCTTCTACCTACCATCTTAGGGCCTTCTGCTCCGGGATCGGACCCTTGGCA